GGTAGATAGTTTAAATCAAATATATAACGTAAAGAAGTCATAAAATGCATGTTTTCACTTCAGAGCAAAGATGTTAAAGTGTGAAATAACTTCATCTAACGGACAGATTCTTCAAAAATATAGTATATCATTCGAAGCAAGAATAATTTTACTTAATAATAAAGAATATGGATATTTATATAGCGCCGGTATCTGCCAGGCCCTGACGTTTATGGTACTTCACACATATTACCCTGGTCAAACCGAGCTGCCAAAGAATCTTGAAAGTTAATGTAGTCTGAAATATAAATTTTTCCTTTTTCAACACCTTTTCACATTCTATAAATGCTTTCAAGTGTCTTTAAACCTGTTGCAATGAGTATACAAGGAGTCAGATCTAAATGTGACATGTTTCCCATTCCTGCAACACTTTAAAGATAATCAATCAATCTTTCTTTCATGTTACATCAACACCTTTATATACATCGTTTACTTCGTCAAAGGACATCGTGTTTAGTTTTTTAAGGCTTAATATTTCCATCTTTTTGATAAGGCTCCCCTCAATGACTATGCGGCAAAAGTTCCGCTATGATTTCTCATAATGCTGCACACCGGTCCTCTACATTTATTTCACATTTAGAGGCAACCTTTGTGTATTGTTGGTAACAGGATTTATGATACCTTGCCTCCGTAGCTACAACATATTCACCTCTAAAACAGTAGCCCTTCATCTTGTTCCATGGTCACAACATTAATATAAGTAATTGCCCCCCCCCCCCCCGCTCTTTTGTTCACACCTCGTTAACTTCTCCACCTTCCTTTTTCCAGTTCCATATTACCTTAGATATATTGACAACTTTACAAATTATGCAACAGACCGGTAGCACATAAGTTACCGCCCTACAAGAGATGGTGTCCTATCAGTGGAAGAACGGAGACATTTCTTTGGTGTGACACCATAGAGGGTCGTCTTCAACTTCCTGGCAAAATATGATTTAATTTGTCCAGAAAAAATAATGATTTGTTTATACGTACTAGAGCTGAGTTAGGTGAAAACTAATAAAATTCCCATATATTAAAAGTATCAATGAAAAGAGTTATAGGGCAATTACCCCCTGGACAATCACCCTCGGCCATTTACCAGCGGGAAAATTAGCCACAAGGAAAATTACCCCAAGGAAAAAACCACCCTGGAACAACATCACCCGTGGTCAATGATCCATAAATTTATAGTGTAGAAATATCGCTCTGTGTTTGCGTGTCCATTTGTTTTGCTATTAAGCAAGAGTAATAATCGGGGCAGCGCCAGGAGCGTCACAACATGACGGACATGTGCGCTATATAAGAAGCCTATGTTATTATCATTATTAACTATAACATCATAAGGAATTGAAATTACATAGCAATCAAAATTGTTTCTGTTACTACTGACCGCACTCATATACTTTTACTCTTGTGAATACGTGTTTTCTATGTCAACATTTTAGTATGCCATAATTAATTCGCTTTGCGTTTTAAATGTATATCAGGTAACAGAGCTTTCTCGCAAGTCCTGTTTATTTAATGAAGTTTTAAAAGAAGGCTCATTGAAAATTAAAAAAAATAGGTACATTTTACCTCTACACATTGCTGAGAACTTATAAAGAAAATGAGCAAAGTACTTTTTAAGACCCCACCAATGTGAGGAATAAATTAAGTGCAATTTTGATTCCCTTTCCAGAACCCACTTATAAAGTGAAATTACGGCGATAAAACAAATGCGAAAATGGTGACGTCACGGTATGAACAACCCTATATTTCGAGACCATGTTGGATGTCCATTTCAATTCTTAGATATGGGTTTAACGCTGTTTGTATATTTACCACCAGTGGCGATATTTTCTTTATTTGTTGCACTTTAAATGAGATACACCTAATAAATAATCCTTTCTACAAATGCCTGTTTGATTTTTACGTATTTCCGTCACATTTAAACATAAAACTGAGAATAATAATCAAATATGTTGAGGCCATGTTAGCATATACGTGTCTGATCTTGGACAGTACTGGGAGTGCGAAGGACATTTTGCCTGCTGACTTAACGACTTTCTGGAGCAAAATAGGCTACAAATTTACATAAAACTGTCTATATATTTATTATGAAAGAGTCTGTTTAGGCTGATCGGATTAATTTATGATTTTTGATAAATCTAGTTGTAGTACTAAATAAATGGGGTAAGCGTACAGCAAATACCCAATTTTTGTAATCTTTTATCAATATTTGTCTTCAAGCACATTTTTAGTTTCGGGGGGGGGGGGGGGGAGTGGAGAATCTTTTCAGAAGTGTGTCTTAAATGAAATCCTCTCTCACATTATGATACAATTTAAGTGAAATTTTGGCATCAAATCTTTGGCGAATTTTGGACTCCAAACACTTTAGAGGGGCTTTAGAAGTCAAAACTATGCAGAACACAAAAAATAGGATCGTCAATTGTCACTAAAATTGTCCAAATTAAATCAAAGTTAAATAGCCCATGAAAGCTGAAAATACTTGTATTTTATTAACAATTGGCTTCTGAAAAGAAAACAATGTTCGAAAACGAAGGTAGATATATCAAGCAGATTAAAAAAAAATCGAATGTCATTTATGATTAAGGAAACCATCACAAAACTGAACAAACACAAAAGTCTTCTGTCCTATTTGGCTTAGCTCTAACGTATAAGGCAAAGTCAAATCCCCGATTTTGGGGTATCTGGATTTCGAATATTTGACCGACGTTTGTAATTGTGATATGGTTAAGTCCATCTGAATATTGTGGGAATATCAAAGTTTATTACAGTCATAATTTCAAACACTAAATTTTCTTGCCAAATAACGATGCTTAAAATCATCTTATTTTTAAAAGTTTTTAAACAACATGGTTGATTTTTAAGCTAACGGAAATATTCATGATGAGGAGCGATCGGGATTGATATTTTAAAGCTTATAAAAATGCATAGCATTCCACTAGGACTTATCCGTTGGTGAAAATAATTTGGCAATAGATAGACTGACTGACTGACAGACAGACTGACAGACAGAGAGACAAAGAGAGCGCTAGAGAGAGGTAGAGAGAGAGAGAGAGGGATATATTGAGAAAGAGAGATAAAGAGAGAGAGAGAGAGATAGAGAGATATAGAGAGAGAGAAAGGGGGATGTATAATTGCTTCGATACAAAACATTGAAAATGCATTCATGTGCGGATGCAGTTGAAAGGAAAGCAAATTTCATTGCATTCCACATGATCCATTCTGATAGAGCATCTACATGATACTTTATGAGGAAAACGGTCGTCATGTCATCAACATACTTTTATCATGATTAAGGTCTATTGTTATATCAAGTTTTTGAATGCGTTATTTTGCTATACAAGTACGTTCTTTTGTTGGTTGTTTTTCAAATTTTATTTCTTATATTATTTTGAGCATGCTGAGTGGTCATTCCGACAGAAATGTATTTCAAGTCAGACTTAATAATAAAATAATTTTTCTGATGTCACGGTTCAAGTTTAAGGTCGAAAATCTATTTGAATGGATGAAACATTTCCTGCTCGAATTTGTCATACCCACCCCCCTCCCCCCTGTCTGCACCGCTGGGCACAGATCTTTACGTAAATCCGTTAACATTAGTTAATCTGTGGACAAGTTGCTCAACATGGCGGTTAAAAACAGCACTAGCTGTGGGATTATTGATCGTAATCTGTGTGTCACCTGGTAAGTGATTGCAAAGTTTCATTGTGCAAGGTTTGTATTAAATGTATTTTATAAATAAATATATAAAAAAAAACAATTCAATAAATCCGTTCGGTTAAAATGTTCTATGTAAAGCAGGGCCAAATTAAAAATTGAAACTCTTGCTATGCACTCTACCCCGTGAAATTCAGCAGAATTAGTTTGAAGGATCGATCCCTGGAAGTATAGTAGGAGGCAAACCCTGCCATCCCGGTAGCCTGACATATCATGATATAGACGGTTTATGATACTGACAGCCAAAGAAACCAGCATTCCCAAGAGGACGACAACGTCGGTTTCGCGAACCTTCTGAAAATTTAATCTTCAGAAAGCCCACGTGGCCCACCATGACCGACACGTCGGTCTCATGGGTCTTCTGACAATTTGATATTTCAAAGGGTTCGCTAGACCAGGCGCGGATCCAGGATTTCTTAGGGTTGGGGCGCAGTTTGAAATCATTTTAAAATATAGTGTGCTGAAATATGAAAATCGTGCCGGCCAATATTTCGCTCAGTAGGGGGGGGGGGGGGGGGTTAGGGTTAGGGTAAGTGAGCACTAATTTGTTTGGCCCTCGAAAATTTGACAAATTGCACCCCCCCCCCCCCCCCTTGAGCGCCAGGGGAGGGGGGGGGGGCATCTAAAAAAAAAGGTAGAATCAACGTTAAAAAATGTTAGAATACACTTTTTTTCCCCAGAGGGGGGGGGGGGGGGGGCGGACCCTCCGGCCCCCCTAGATCCACCACTGCGCTAGGCCGTTCGTTGTCGGTCTTGTATACCGTCCGTCTCGTTGACTTTATAATTCCCTTGCCATTTTATACATATATTTTTGTTTACTCTTGTAACATTCTCCCAGACTTGTCATGGTAGTGTATTTTTTAGTAGGCCCTTCAAGCGTCCTCAAGGGCACCCGCTTATGCGGTCATAGTATAATACGCCTACTTTAAAGTAAATTATGCACAGTACCAACTCTTCAGGAATTAAAACAAATTGCAACCTTTGATGTGAATATTGTACCAAACAAATCTTTATTTAGAATTTGTCTTGCCACAAACAAAATCAGTCATGAATATGTTTGGGAGAGTCTCTGGGAATATATCAAATATTGAGGAGTAAAGGTGTTTAGCCCGTCATGCACTCTGGACAATATTAAAACTCACTATAGGCAAGTCCTTACGAATCATCATACTCTGAGATCTTTTGGTTCGATGAAATTATGAAAAATGATTTGATTCACAACGACCGGATATTTTACTCTATTTTGTTTGATGCAGGTATAAAATCATCCCAGGTAGTTCCAGATGGTCTGGTTTACACCGAAATAGAGAAGACACTGGTCCAAGGAGTGCAAGGTGTTTTCACATGTCGCTTCTATGGAGACCCAGTTGCAGTCTACTGGAGAAAGGGCCTAGATCCTGGCAATCTAAGACCCATGGTTGTATGGTATGATGGTGAAGTATCAGGACCAAGATATGACGATGGAAGTTGCGACGTCGACGAAAATTATTCCTTGATCATCAACAATGTTTCAACGGCAGATGTTGGAAGAATACACTGCACAGTTTCCAACAACAAGGGACCTCTGATGCACAACTACACTGACATTTCAGTTGTAGGTAGGTTATTTGGAAGAGAATCTAAAATTCATTTACACTTTTGATCAGTACTGATTACAAAAACAACCCTATAACTTACTTAAAACCAATGTTATAAACATTGTTAATCTGAACAACTGAAAGTCGATTATTTTGAAGTATAGGTTTCATGGCATTTCCTAAAAAACATTTAATTGTTTCTAAACTTGTAGATTTCCCTTTTCCCAATAATATGTATCATTCCTGCTCCTCTTCTCCGACTTATTTTATTACACATATTCCTATACAAAGTTTTCCCAGCACCCTTTTCTTCTACAACATGTTTTCGATACAGCAACTCTTCCTTCGCAAGAGCTTGATTTGCTACAAAACAATATGTTACAAAAACGTTTTGGATTTTTTTTTTTTAATATTTTTTAAACAAAACTAACTTGAAATAAGTTTGATATTCTTTAACCCTACAGCCTTCAAAATGCATTTTGCTACAGTTTCAAAATATGCCCTCACCTTTTATATCTAATATTTTATAAAAACGACATGGATATATCTCTAATTTTAGTTACGTTGTGGAATGTTTTCATGTTATAATAGCTAGCTGGACACCAAATAAACTTACACTTGAAGCTCCTAAATTGGCTGCGCCTTAATTATAGTTAGTTTCATGTTCTTTCATGTACTTTGGTAGCATTTGCTCTTTTTATGACGTGGCTATCATCGTTTTTTCTTCAGATACTGCAATCACAACAAATCCACAAGCCACTTTACAGCTGCGTCAAGCTACATTTGGTCTCCTGCAATGCACTGTTCATATCAAAGCCAGAAGAGTCTCTTGGAAGAAGAGAACTACCTCCTTGGCGGATGAAAGTCTGGTTGTAATGGAAAGCAACAAAAATATTTCTGAAAGAAGTGGAGCTGGATACTACGACGGCACGTACAACATCACCCAAGAATACTCGCTGGTCATCAAGGAGTTACAGATCCATCACGAAGGTCTTTATGTGTGTGAGGTGACCGATGATACTGGAATGTCCTTCAGGAATCACACATTTGTCAATGTGGTTGGTAAGTATTCTTCATGTGCCTAATAGAATTTGCCCACACTAAAAGTAAAATGATAGGATCAATAAGGTTAAACCTTAAATATGAAATGTTGTTTAATTAATTTTTGATTTGTTCAGGGGAAAATCAATGTATTTTAATTCCCAGTGAGTTTAAAATATCTATCTTTATTATCATTATTTCGTATATGAACCATAGCTATTTAAAACTGACTAGTGTGACACCAGGGGGGTTCACAAAGACTAAGATCGACATTAAGTGGAACTTAACTGTGTCAGGCCGTTCATGCCACGTTTAGCTCTCACTAGTTACTGACATTGGTCTTTCAAGTGACGTACAAATCATGGTTGCAAATCTACAGAATTTACATTTTTTGATAATTCATTATTGAAGGAATTGTTTTAAATCTAAAGTGGCATGAATGACCTGCCATAGTTAAGTCCAATTTTAAGTCGATCCCAGTTTTTGTGAAACAACCCCCAGTAGTGGGTTGTCAATATCAGCGATATGGGGGCTGCTATAGCACACGCATTCGGAATATGAATTTGACCACATGGACATAGGTAAAATTCTTTGAGACCCCAAAGCTTCATGCTTGCTGCAAAGCGGCCTAGCTGCGCCACATCGTAAGCGGTTCAGATGAAACCGGGGCTTCCTGGGAAGATTGCTGCCAGGAAGGTTAGAGGACCAAGATAAAAGATATGGTTTAAGCCTTTCAGTGATAACTGGCTCTGTAGCACCAGCTAAAGCAAGGTTCTCAATATAGAGGGCTTAGAGGCCCTGCACGGCAGCGCGGGGGCTCTATTTCAAAGATATTGTATTGTGCGGCCAGTCGATAAAGTTATATGCAGTTGTTATCCCGACGGATCTGTGGAGGTTGAATGTTTGATATCTGTCTAAATTGTAGTTGCCCCAAAACTATGTAGCAACTGATGAGTGCACATTTCGTCGGATGAGCACAACTGTATATGTGCATGTGTGTGTGTGTGAATGTGTGTGTGTGGAGGGGACGGTACTACACACTGAAAAACTCAACTTAGTATAAGATGTTCTATAGTTCGTTCATTTATTATTTAATTTGTTGATTCGTTAGTTTATTGATTTGTAGAATTGACAGCAAATATGAAAGGGCAATTTGACAAACCATTGTTTGCTTGATTATATTTCAAATTTAGCCCAGCCTCTGGAACCATATCCAACTATCCAGGAATGTCTAAATGCTGAACAGCACGACTCAAACTACTGCCCCCTCGTCGCCAAATCAGGAATGACTCTTACATGCCAAGCGACGAAGTACTACCCCTCTACCAATCTTGTCTTTCTATATGGATCCAAAGCAATTGAGCCATCATATACAAGAGAGTGGAACAACACAGACGGGACGAAAAATAAAACCATAACTATCACTATTGCCGCCAGGAGTATTAACGAAGAATTGTATACATGTGTGGCTTCCAGTATTCCAGGAATTTATGCAACTAAATCCACCTCTGTCTTACTCCAAGGTGACGGACAAGTGCAACCAACTACGATTGTAATCTTAGTTTGTAAGTCATTTCGAATACTGGACATCCTGAATATTAATTAAAGAAATCCAAGAAATAAGCACAATGTAAGTGTTACGTGTAATCATGAAACTATTGAGAATAGGCAAATTTAGTAACCAGTAACCTTGCTACGGACCTGATGAAAACTATCGGGAAGTAAGATGAAAAGCGGTCCTGAGCGAAAGCTCACTCAAGAACATTACAAGAAAGAAAGTGATACTCATAAATTCAACAAAATATCAAGATGGTATACCATATGTGTGTTACGCAAATGCAAACTAAATAACTACGTATACATATACAAATTTTGTAAAACGTTTGAGCCATGAAATACCGTGAAAGTGTTGGTTATGAGTTATGTCTACCACAAAACAGCACCTTGAACATGTGAACATAAAACTGATATACGGAGCTTCGTTTTTTTTTTTTTTTTCCTTTGTAATTTTACTTTAGGAAAGTTAACAAAACAGGAAGTTTATAGAAATCAGATTTTAATTAATTAGAACTACATTATTAGATTTTAACATGAACAAGCTTTTTGGTTATATCACAGATTTATGACCAGAAGGTCATTTTGACATTTGAGCGCTTTATAGCATACAAACCTGATGTAATAGTTATGTGTTTCTCAATGTTATCTTCTTCGTTTTTTTCAGGTTTTTGTTTTATGATACTCACCTTTGCAGTGGCCTATTTCATTCGGAATAAGAAACGTAAGTAATTCGGTAGCATGGTACATTCAATGGTGGAAGATGCAAGTAATAGGAAAATAATTAGGTCAAATAAAATGCTTGGTGAAACACCATTTATTCACCTGACAGATAGAGTTTTGTTCTCTCTTTAGTTTCATTGGTTTCAAACTTTGATACTGATAGCTGATAACATTCGTGAAATTTTGAAGAAAATTTCTCCATTTTTCATAAGTGATAACAGATTTACTGTTAATCTTATAAATCAAATAAGCTTAAGATGTTCAGATTATCTAAATGTAAAATGCATGTGTATACATTACAGTTTATAGCCCTATAAAGTAATGGGTAAATGTGGTAAATTTGACTAGCGTTTGATAAAGAGCACTGTAAATAGGTATTATGTAAGCATCTTTGTCTGTAGCAAGGGCAACGCCCCGACGAGGGTCAATGGCAGGCCACATTCAGAGTAAGCTTCTTTTGTATTTGACAGGAAGTGTGCTATTAAGTCTTGACTGTAGTTCTTCATACATGTAGCTGAATGCAATGTTGTTAAAGATAATTTACAAAAATGAGGAAAGTTAAAAAAGCAATAAGTAATCAAAGTGTAATTGTTTGTGACCTTTTTCAAGCTGCCAATGACGTAAAACATATAAGCCAAGGCCAGGAACTCTCGTGGGGGAAATGACGCCCCTCGCACTCTCATGGATAATTTCGGAATAAAATACATAGTATAACGACATTTATAGTAACGAAGGAGCTGGTGAACATAAGTCTAATTGGTACTGTCTTGTAATGTAAAAGTATCACAACTTACTTAGTTTAATATGTTAGCCCTCCTTTAAGTTTTCTAATATTTTTTTAAAAATCTATTTACAACTAAGGAATACCCGCCCCCTTCCTTTCTAGTTCATCACTTTTTGTTTTCTTTTCTCACCGAGGATAAATCCGAGAGTGCTTTTCAGGAAGTGAACTGATATTTTTCATTTTCAAACAGTCTAAAATTAAACTAGAGACACACACCGCAATTAAAAATATATAAGAGAGACAGAATGCGTAATATTCGCTCTCCCCTCATCCCCGAAAATCTCCGCAACACGATTACACGATATATTTTTTGGATTACACGGTTTACACGATTCACCTGAATCGTGTAACTGTGTAATCGTGTAGACTTACACGATTGAAGATTGTCGCTCTGAATCGTGTAATCGTGTAAATAGTTAAGTGCATTTGTGGGATGATTCGACCAGATGCAACAAACGTGTAACTGTGTAATCGTGTAAATTTACACGATTGAAGACTGTCGCTCTGAATCGTGTAATCGTGTAGATAGTTATAATGGTTATAAGAGCACTGGAAGGGATGATTCGACCAGCTGCAACAATCTGTAAATCGTGTCTTGCTTTCACCACTCGCTTAAACCAAGTAATTGCTTTTTACACCACTTGCCTACATCAGGTAATTACTGTACTTTATGTTCGTGTATAAACCTCATCACTTTCTACTAACCTGCACCATGAGACATAGTAGGAAAACGTCAAAAAGAACAAAGATAGCTAAGAAAAGGGAACATGTAAAAGGAAAATGAGAGTTGAAATGGCACGATAAAGATAAGAAGAAAAACTATGCAAGAGAGAAAAAAGGAAAACGAAAAAGAATTTGATCGGAAGAAAAGAAGGGCGAAACATAGTGAAAGAAATAGAAATGAGAGGTAGAAAGGCTTTGAAACGGAGAGGAAAAGAGAAAAATGAATAAGATAAGAGTGGAAGAAAACGGAAGAAAGAGAGATGAGAAAGATAAGGGGGCAGTGGAAATATATTGAGAGAGAGAGAGAGAGAGGGATGAAAAAAAAGCATCAGTTGAAAGAAAAGGGGCATTAATCGGAGTTGATGGGGGCATTTATCAAAAGTGAAGAGGGGCACTTCTCGTACCTAAAGAGGGATAATACTTAATTGAGATTAACAAGGACACTTGTGAGAATAGAAAATGGACACTTGTGAGAAAAGAAAATGGACAAGTATTGCAATGGAAAATAGGAACTCGTCGAAGGAAAAGGGGCGCGTGTCAAAAAAGTAACAATAAATAAAAGTGTCAAAATAAAAGGGGCACTTGTCAGAGATGAAAAGGGAAAGGGGCACTTTTACAAATGAATACGGGCAATTGTCAAAATAAAATGGGGACTTTTCCTACGGATAAAGGGGCACTTTTTGGATTCTTTAATAAGTGGGGGTGGGCACTGTACCGCCAGCTAAACGTAATGCAAAGCCAGTTGGCCATTCACTTATTATATTTATTCTCGTCTTAATTGCTACTGCTTCCTGTACTCTGTAGCCAGTGGCTTTGATCCGAACGTAATACCTATTGTTCAGGAGATCATATGTTCAAAGGGGATTCCCCTGAACAATAGGTATTATGTAAGCATCTTTGTCTGTAGCAAGGGCAACGCCCCGACGAGGGTCAATGGCAGGCCACATTCAGAGTAAGCTTCTTTTGTATTTGACAGGAAGTGTGCTATTAAGTCTTGACTGTAGTTCTTCATACATGTAGCTGAATGCAATGTTGTTAAAGATAATTTACAAAAATGAGGAAAGTTAAAAAAGCAATAAGTAATCAAAGTGTAATTGTTTGTGACCTTTTTCAAGCTGCCAATGACGTAAAACATATCAGCCAAGGCCAGGAACTCTCGTGGGGGAAATGACGCCCCTCGCACTCTCATGGATAATTTCGGAATAAAATACATAGTATAACGACATTTATAGTAACGAAGGAGCTGGTGAACATAAGTCTAATTGGTACTGTCTTGTAATGTAAAAGTATCACAACTTACTTAGTTTAATATGTTAGCCCTCCTTTAAGTTTTCTAATATTTTTTTAAAAATCTATTTACAACTAAGGAATACCCGCCCCCTTCCTTTTTAGTTCATCACTTTTTCTTTTCTTTTCTCACCGAGGATAAATCCGAGAGTGCTTTTCAGGAAGTGAACTGATATTTTTCATTTTCAAACAGTCTAAAATTAAACTAGAGACACACACCGCAATTAAAAATATATAAGAGAGACAGAATGCGTAATATTCGCTCTCCCCTCATCCCCGTTGTCTTCGTTCAACCCTCCCCCCCCCCCCCCTCTCTCAGCTGTTGGTTATTCCTGGTTCTACTGAACTAGACATCGTAATCTGCTCACCCTCACCACTGAAAATAAATTGTTACTCAATTCCAGCGAGCAATCGAATCGTGTAAATTTTTAATCGTGTAATCGTGTTGCGGAGATTTTCAGCGTGCAGATTACACGATTACACGATTCGACCTGAATTGAGGAATCGTGTAATTTTACACGATTACACGTTTACACGATTCAAATTTCGCTTAATTGGCAAAAGACGAATCGTGTAAAATTAATGTTTACACGATTCCCGTGAGCTTCCGAAACGTGTAAATTTTGAATCGTGTAAATCGTGTTGCGGAGATTTTCGGCGTGTACTACATAGTCTTACCTAGAAAGCACGTATCCAGTCGAATAGGTGAACACGATTTAAAATCTTGTTATGTAATCCTGAATTATGGCTACTTTTGTAATTCATTTGATCACTTACTTACAAATGACATGAATGTTGACACCACATTTCATCCCAAGAAATAAAGATTACACAAAGAAATAAAATGGATAAAACACTTAAAAATTATTAAAGTCATTGAATATAAAACACCCCATTCTTATTTTTAACATCAAGCATCGTCTGAAAACCCTTGGAAAATGTTGTCACTTTTTATAACTATGTTTGTAATATGCAGCTAAACCTTTTACTTGGGAGAAAAAATGATGTATCACTATAGCAAACGAAAACCCACATCCTTTCCTCTGTTCCAATAAAATGTTGACAAAATAATACAACATGTGATTCCCATTTTTTCCAAATGATGTATCTATCTCAAATAGGTTATGAGACACTTATAAAACATCGTTTGGATGATGCATTGATGCAGCTTCACACAAGGATAGGTGGCCCTATTGACAAGGAACTTGCTAATGACATAACTGATGAAAACAGGACTTCTCTCTTCGATACTCACCAGATGCTTACTGATTGGCAGTCGCATAGACTCACATTTACAAGAGTCAAACAAACGATCGACAAAGAAAAAGAGCCAGGTAATACAAAATACTTCTTCAGCAATTCACGGAGTGGAGGTAAAGAACCCAAGAGTATGAACACATCTACTCCCGGTAAAAAAAAGAAAGAGTTCTTTCCCGGGGGAAAGAACTCTATATGACCCTTCCTTGATTTTACCATTCCCTGCAACTACCTGTTTTACGGGGAATCGCACCCTGGTCTGAAACTGTATACGTCGAACGCCTTAACCACTAGATTACGAAGGTGGGTTGAGTATTCGGCTCTACCAAATACAATCACTGTCGGGCGGCCTAACTGATCTCGTAGCAATTAATTCATACTTTTTCTTGGGATCGGGGAGTACTGAACCATGACAATTCGTATACGATAGAAATTTCTGGTTTTATACTAAATAGCATCGGCAACTCCGATGGGGTAAATTTACATAATGTGACAAATCATTCATGTCAATATAGAGAAAAATAATTTGCTGAGCTTGAATTCGGTTTACCCCTGTAATTTTGTCCTGTTTTTACATTAATTGAAAAGGTAGCAAGTATTGTCTCCGCCCGGAATCGAACTCGAACCGTTGGATGTTGAAACAAAAGTCTCACCTTTTATCTTTTGTTTGATGATACTGTTTATATTGTACTATAGATGATATCTGGCCTTATAACGATGAACTGAAGACGATTTCACGTCATCTGACACAAGAATCAATGAAGGAAGTCTGCAAGAAACTAGAAATTGACTTCCAATGTGATGATGCTAATGACGAAGGGAAACGGTTAGAAACTCTACGTAAATGGAGAACCAACACGTCAACTCAACCTATATGGGATAAATGGGAGCAACTCTTTTCAGCCTTGGAATCAATCAACCTGGGAGGTACCGTCTTACCAAGTGCATAATTTTGTGTTAGTTCTTACAAATCTATAAACATGTACAACTACATTATTCTCACTCCTTGTACAAATTTGATGTTTTTGTGTTGTTCGTAGCTAAGGATTGAAAGAGTGACTGGTTGAATCAGGGCCGTCGTTGTTAAAGCTGCAATATGACACATTCTTTATAATTAAAATTAATCGGGACAAATCAATTTTTCACATACTTACAAAACTAAAACAAAATGATAAGGGTATTAATAATATTTGTTAACTGTATGAATGTTCATGAAGATTTGCATCCATGTGATCCCAATCTAAACAAATAAAATAAAAAGCATTATGTGCATGGCCGGTAATCCCCTGTAATAATATACGAGGTTTTCTGTTTATAATCCCCAGGTTTGCTGCCAATTTTAAAAGAACCATCCATCTACAAAGCTGAGTTAGTTGATTTGGCTTTTCATCTGCTCATGCAGGATATTTGTCCTGTCGCTAAAGAGCTCGGTATCAATGCAACTAAACTGGCATCGTATCGACCCGCATTCAATCCTTCACACCTTGAGATGGGTACCATCAAGTTACCATCTTTCTATTGACATCGTTTAAGATAAATATTATGTTTAATGTATACACAAAAAAAACGTTTAGCACTTTTCTCCGCTTTGATTTTCAAGAGTACAACATGAGCTATGGAGAGTTGTGTTCTATCTCGGAAGCACTACATCAACACGCACAAGGACGTGCTGATCAAGGTAAGAATCTATCTGCTAAAGCATGAAGTTGTTATGGAATATAGTTTGATATCCAATCCGATATCATTTTGGTATGATCCGATGATACGGTTTCCCCGTCAGTTTTCATCAATTCATCATTAAGCCCATATTAAGAGGCATTTAAGGATTTTAACGAATATTCCAACTTGTTTTACTTTTACAATGAGGAAATCAGCAAACTATCACGCAAGAAAAACAAAACAACAACAACCAATCAAAACTTTGGATAGCCGAATCCGTAATTGTGTCACTGATTTCGTAGAGTCAAACTGCACTCAATATCACGTTTAATAATGACGTTACACAAGTTGATCTTGTTGTCTTTTTTTATTTTAGACGTTACCTCTAGCATGCTTCCAGGTCCAGGGATCCCCAATGCACTTGGTATTCTTCAGGATGTGCTACGGCTGACAAATAAAGACATAGCTACCCGTCGTGATACCACACGCCCATTAACAGCATTTGCGTTGTTGAAGATATGGAAAGAGAGGCCACGTCCGTCGGTTTTCAACTATCGTGCAGCTTTAGCTTATGAACTACGAAGAAACGAGATGCCTGATCTCGCAGATGAAGTAGCTGCAGGTCAGTCCATAAGAATTTGATATTTTGTATATATATATATATATGCTAGGGCTGTAGAGATACGGTTACAATTAGGAAAAGAAGAGAGTTACTTCCCTCTTAAGCCCCCATTACACCAACCTAGTTCTTACTACGTTCTGGAAAGTGTTGCCAAACGGGCTCAAACTGTGTGCGAACGGAGTTGGACGTAGTATCGACTGTTTACGATCTGTTTAAAATTTCCCCCGTCCCGCAATTAGACGTAGTGACAACGTACTTATAACGAGGAGGAAGTACTACAAACGGACTGATTGCCGTACTATAAACGGAGTTGCCGTCCTTCGATCCTACTAGGGACGTGTTGCAACGTGATGTGGTAGAGCAACAATTAGCAGCAGCTAAGCCCCCATCATACCAAACTAGTTGTCTCTACGTTCCGGGAACGTCCTAGAAAATCGTAACAAAACTGGTAATAGTCAGGGTAGAATGTGTAAATAATATATATAATACGATCCTAGAAAGTTCATAAACAGTCCTCAATACGTCCATTCCGTCTATACTCCGCCCGCAGTCAGTGGGACTGTTTATGAACGAACTAGGGTCGTAATTTAGACATTATGTTCAAATTCTACTCCGACCACTACCCGTTTTACGATTTTCTGGGACGGTTCCAAAACGTAGTGAGAACTAGTTTGGTGTGATGGGGGCTTTAGGATTAAAATCTGTTTCAAAATCAATGGTGGATCCAGTATTTTGTGATAGGGAAGGTTAAAGTGAGCTCGTAATAATAATATATTTATGGTAATAATGATAATAATAATAATATAATGTTTTTGTGTAGCGGAATTCAAATCAAAGTGAAATTTAAAACAGAGAGCAAACAATCAAAATGAAAGAATGGTGTTAATTATATACGTACATGTCGGTTTCACCTTCTATACGAACCAAACATGCTCGATTGTGGCCTTTATTCGTATGTTACAGGCAAATACATGACAGAGAGGACAAGTCTCGTATTCATTGAAGATATGGTTCGCGGATTAAATCAAGATCAACTGGACTGTCTTGGGAAGCTACTAGAACTGAGTGGAACACCCTCCGATACGATTTCCAAAGAGATTTGTGCCCGGGTTGCAGAACTGACAACGGAAAAGGAGATGTGTCGGAGATCCCGTCCCCGCAAACAACGTGTCAAAACAGGCGGGACGTGGTATGTCCCCGGTGGCGAATTGTTAGCACACATGGCGGAGTCAACCCAGGAGTCCCAACCCTCTGGTTCAACTATGCCCCTTGAGCACAGGGATCTAAATGATAGGCTCGTAGAGCATGGTTTTCTTGATCTCGCGCGTGAGATTATGATCATAGAGCAACGATCGGTTGCAGGGTTGTTAACATAAATAGAGCAGACTTTTGTAAATAGAAATCCAACCAAGTTTATCTTCGCATCGGAACAAAGTCGACAATTTAGTCTTTGGATTTGGCGTATCATTGGCAATTCTTTTCTGGTGTGGACCTTCTGCTTTTTTATCCCTCCCTATCTAGCCCCTCCCCCAAGAAATAACGGGAAGAGTGCCCACTATAGTAGGTTTCATAGTTGCCTTTTATGCGATGATCGGTAGGAGGGGAGAGCGTTGTGGAAGATGTCGTAATGTACTCTCATAAGTATAGACAATGTCAAAGGTATTATAAATAGATCTTTGTAGACTCTTTGTTCATTTCGAATCTTCAGCTGGTATAAAGTACGTGGCTGGTAATTTAGGCTAGTGTATATTATGACGTTTTGGTAAAAAAGTGTTAGACCTCTTCCTTTCTATACCATCGACTATAATTGCATAAGATTAACCTGAGTGTAATATGGCAAGTTTTAAACAGAATGCTAGAAAAACATTAGAACCTTGTATATATATAATATATACATGTACAAGTTCATTTTTATTTAGGGATGCTCTATGCTCTACAATTCAGGATGCATTTTCCCTTATTTGAAACACAGAATGAGAGAGAGATATAGACACTTAAATAATGTAATACAAGCTATCAAAAGCAACATGACATTTTTCATCTGCAGTGCGCATTGAATTGTTCATTATTATTAGACTCTTTCTGTTTAATATGAGTTAATACATTGAATGGTAATAACATTATTATGTTCGTTAATTATTTGTTTCCCCCCCCCCCCCTTTGTAGCTGTAGCATCTAGTGATGTATTGTACAAGTGTCTCTTTATTTTTCTTTTTAGTTTATTTGTTTGCGCTTTTCTTTTTATCAGTGAACATCAGCCTGCGAAACGTTAAATACAATCAACAAATTTATGTTAAGTGATTTTTTTTAGGGAACCCATGACAGACTTCTGTACATGTAATAGTTATCAAAACGCTTTGTGCAATGGAAGCGCCAATATGATGACATATACACGTATCTATGAAAGACTTATTGGTTAGGATTTAGTTCAGTTCGATAATGATTCCAAGTCATAGACTTGTTTCCACTTTTAATTTATCAATCTAATGTTTTTATTGTCATATTCTGGTGTTCTATATTTGTTTTACAGTGTAATTCCATCGAAGAAAGGGCTATGTCGCACTGCTTTCTTCATGTGATAAATATAACATATTATCGTGTGCAGAACAAAAAACGAGAGTAACCAATGATACATTCATCACACTTTGCAAAATAATTTAGTTGTGTGTAATTAACTTTAAAAAAGGAAGAGGTCTGTAAATATTTGTTGTCGCTAATAACTGTGTATGCTATCTGTGTCACCAGGTCCTCTTTCTCATCACAATCTTCATCAATTCATTATTATGTTTATCAGTAATGATGAATTTCATATATTTGCTATATCTTCTGTAGCTGTAGCATCTAGTAATATATTGTACATATGTGGCTTTATTTTTCATTTTAGTTTAGTTGATAACGGTGTTCTTCTTCTTTGTGAATATCAGCCTGCGAAACTTAAAATACAATACATGACTTTCTGTAACGTGTTTGGAGCGAACCCATTACAGACTTCTGAACAAGAAATCAGTTCCAAAAGGGTTCATCCGTACATGTATCTATGAAGGAATTATTGTTTAGGATTTAGTTCAGTTACGATAATGATCACAAGACATATACCTGTTTCCACTTTACCTGCGTCAATCTAATACATTTTGTTATTGTAATTTGTACACACACAACAATATTTGGGTAATCTTACTCAAATAGGGAAATAAACTTTGACACTATAGTGACACACTTAACTGAATGCATTAACTCATTAAATTGATATTATTAACGCACAGGAATGAGTTTTGTTGATTTGACATTATAGTGACATGGCAAATGAGTATTTTAAATTAGTGAGTTATTTAACCTAATGTTGTGAGTAAATCGCTCCATCTCAACTAGTGAGTAATACTTCAATTACTCAGTCAGTCAGGTTATTAGGCTCATCACATGTGGTTATATGGCAAATGAGTAATCTAAATTATTGAGTTATTTAACCAAATGTTGTGAGTAAATAGGTGCGCAGACAAAGGGCTCCCCATTATATACACACATACAAAATGACACATCTGCACATACATGTCCAGGATGTTCGATGCGAGCTGGGGATCTTACGAAGTAGTTAAGATAAGAGAGAGCCCCGTATAGCCTTGCTTATGGGCCTCACGATTGTAGGACTTCGCCATGCACTCCATACACTTCGGTCGCCGTGCACAAGAAGAGCTTCAAAATTTCAGCACCAGATCTAGATTCTATATCTAAATTGGTAGCCTTAACTCGTTTTTTATTTAAGGGATCCCCTTCAGTAATATTACTACTAATTGATTCAAAATTATGAAAAATCAAATTTACTTACACTTATTCTGTGGCTCATTGGCCGCTAAAAACGTGACGATCGGGTACGTACGTACGATCACGAACGCGTACGAATATACATCAGCGAAATATTTACGCGCATGCAAAGAGTAAGATAGCTCCTAAGACGAGTACAGCTTCGAAGAGACTGAGGTTGTTGGTTCTTTTACTCATCCAACGAATAAAGATTCTTTGACATATTAGGGAGCAAAAAGCTACTCTACACACTTGTGAATATTTTTACTCATTCGGTCACTAAAGTTGGAGAATACTCATCCAATATTAACTTACATGTACTTAAAAGGGTAAAAAGACTCATCGAGAAAATAATCGGGCCACATACTCGTTTTAAATATCATGTGTGTAAAATTTCACTAAGAGAAAGGTGGTGTATTCACCAAATGTGTAAAATAATGCAT